CAGCAACGGCAGCAGCAACGGCAACAGCGAGGACGACGAGGACAACGACGACGACGACTACCACTACTACTAGTATAGTAGTGGCCGAACTTCTCCCTGAACTCATGATGGTGATGATGATGATGATGATGATGATGATGATGCTGGTTCTGGCTCCGATTTCACGGGCACCAGTTATATTCAGAAGAATGGCCAGATCAACAATGGCACTGGCGGTAGCCACCAAAGATCGTGAATGCTTGTGCTGCGAGTGAACGGGATGGTGACAGCGGCGAGGTCGGTATTCCTACGGCCCTACGGATGGCTCTGGCCAGGAACACACGTAGAACGGAAGTAGTCCTAGGTTCCCCAGTAACCCCTAAATAATAAGGGTACCCTTTTTCCTTCTGTTTGGTTTTGTTGAGGGAACCCAAAAAGAAAAAGGGTAAACGGGTACTACTGGGGAACCTAGAGTCGTACAAGTTACAAACACCTTTCCCATTCCGCAAACGGGAAGCTGCATGGGGCCAGTCTCGACACGCGAACCAGAGCAGCACCTGAAGTGGAGACCGGGCGAAGGTTTCGGGGGGTCATGGAGGCCATGGAGGCTTTGCAGACATAATAAGGCATCTACAAGGTCAGGCTTTTTTACAGGCTCAGGGCATTCGTCGGACTCTTTTGCATGTCTTGTGGCATGAAGGTCTGTGAACACGCTCCCAAATTCCTGATCCTGAAGCTGCTCGTAAGGTTTGAACCCAAGTCCGATTCTCCCTATCTAACCCGTAAGAGGGACAGCCCTATAGATATGATTTCTGTGAGGCCCGGAAATTGAAGGGAATGCTCCCGGCAGAGTGCCTGAAAGCTCAAAGGATGTAGGTCGTTTGATTGAAATCGGGCCGGGGCCGAAACGCGACTCCCATCTAGCATAATGCGTCGACCAGGCCTGACAGTGTCATCTACAAGTTATCAACCCAATACCAGCTTGTTTGCTTGTTGGCGAGTTTTGTTGTGCGTAGTTTAAACCTGTAATCCCCATACATCCAAAGTGCACCGGATTGATGCGCCTAGGACATCCATGGACGAAGCTACAAGCTGGTAGCTCGATAGATATGCAACGCTGCTTTGCAGAAGCTGTCTACTCACCACGAGCTTGCGATAGATCCCCCACCCCAACGCCCGACGATAATCGCGACATAAACGCAACAGCTTCAAACAAACCCGGCTACCAATCACTAAACACACTCCGAACACTAAATCTGAAATCCACAGCAAAAACCCTTTAGCTACGCCGGGAGACCTCTTTGGCTTGGCTCTGAAGCGCTCCCGACCCCTTGGCCGGGATCCCTGAGCCACTTGCAGTCAAAGGCACTGGCGAGGAGGAATTGAATTGAGGCGTAAAGATTTAGGGATTGTTCTTCAGGGCCCAAAATGTAGGGTTTAGAGACTGGGGCTTGGGGCTTAAGGAGAAAGGGTGTAGTATGGCCTTTGCATCATTCAGACAATGCTCCTGTCACAGCTTAACCTACCAGAAGTTGGGTAGGTAGGGTCTCTATAAATTCCAGATTACGTAGAGCTTATAAACTTACAAGAAAAGCAGTTTATGGTGTATAGTGCCTAGGAAAGATGGCTTAGAGTTTAGGATTGGGCTTACGGTTGTGGGGCTGTTTGTGCCTTTGACTCAAGGTTAGAGGGCTGTTCGTTCCGGGCCCAAGCCCTAAACACTGCACCCGATGCTTGGCAGGGGATTGCCTGGCTGGCACTCTGTAGATGTCTCCGCTTGGCGAAATTTCCCGTAGAGGGAGCCGCATGTGCTCTTTCGGCGGAACTCCACGATCCACCCCGAGCGCTTCCGGAAGGTCTTCAGGACCTTGTTCTGAGCCTTGGCCTTCGCCATCACAACTGGAGAGGTATTGTGCGGCGGCCAGTGCAGCGGCTTCGCGGCGGTCAAAGCCGCGATTTCATTCGCCCGCGCGGCGTTCTCCGCCTGGTGGTTCTCCATCTGCCTGCACAGGCAATCAACCACAGCACAAGCGGGGTTGACTGCTGTGCTGCTGTGCTCAGCTGGCGGCTGACCTCCTTCTCCACCGACTCCTTGAAGCGCATCTCTTCCTCCAGTATATACATTGCCCCCAAAGAACCTATATAGGGACTACTTTAAGGCCACAGTACATACTATTTCCGCACATGGACCCTTAGGTTGTTGTTGCAGAGGGTTAAACCAAGGCTACAGTGACCGGCAGCGTAACAGATCAACAGTCGCCCGACCATGTGCCCCAGCTCTTGCACTCACTCGGACAGTCTAAGGCACCTCTATGTACTATAGGGGCCCCGTTGTAATGCCTACTATGTGTAGTATGATACACCACCCAAAATTCTATAATACATGGCCCCTGTCCCCTACAGCAACCCTTACATAACGCTTTACGCGAACCGCCAGGCATGCA